CGTGACTTTATGTGTTTGATCGATAAATCTTGTAACAAAACATCTCTTAATAGTCATCTCAAGCAAATCAATCCTCTCCATGGCTTTATCTCCTCTGTAAGAAGATTCTTTATTTCCTTTCACTGAACTTTGTAAGGTTTCTGGATTAATGTAAAGTCGATTCTAATCTTATAATCTAAACTTTTTCTCCTTTAATTTAATTTCTTTATCGAGAAAAGTTTGGTAGAAGACCGTCAAGTTCCACTTGATGCTACCTCTGATCCACCAGCTGGTTTGTTCGATGGAACCACGAGGTTTACTTTTTATGTTATTAAAATAATTAATTTAAGCTGTAAAAGAATAATTTGTTAATGTGCTTTTGATGTATTAACATTAACTTTCGTTTGTTAATTTAAACTTGAAACAAAAAAAAAGGTTGTACATAAGCTACACATGTCCATTTTCACAACGTGTTTGGATTACCAGAAACCTCAAGGTACTTGTGTGTTTTTTTATTTTTATTTAATTTTCTGACAATGATGATCTAAAAATGTTTCTAAATAATAAAGTGTTCAATCTGATATAGAGATTTACTCCTCTTTCTGATTCACACAAAGTGGGGACAAAATAAAATTAGTTTGGCGTTAAAACAATTTTGGCTATATATAGTATTTATAAAAAAAATTTGGTTATAGTCTCCAAGTGGTTTCGAATGATGCAGCACTTCCACTCGAGATTAGTTTAAAAGTTTGAGTTTCATTCAAAACGAACCAAAATTGTGAAATTCGGGATTAATTCCCTGAAATCTAGTTATATGGCCTTTCAAACCTAGATGATGTCATCTCATTTCATAATATGAGAAAATTGCATTTGTGTTTTTTTTGGTTTGCTGTATATATGATTGATCTGACAAACTTTAAAGACAAATTTTAAAGCAAAATTTGTCTAACCGTTTTGTAGGCTCTGCAAGGGAAAATCAAATTGGTTCCTATAGACCTTCTTAATAAGCCAGCTTGGTTTAAGGAGAAAGTAAATCCTGAGAACAGGGTATACCTTTATTTGTCTCTTAGCAATTATACACACACACAAAAAAATTACTATTCGATATTTTCGATCAACACAATGAATCCTTACAAATCAAGGTTCCTTGATAAGTGACAATTAATAGTAGGTTTAAGATTATAATAATGATATGTAGGTTCCTGCACTTGAACACAATGACAAAATCATCGGAGATAGTCTCGATTTAATCAAATATGTTGATAGCAATTTCGACGGCCCTTCACTTTATTCCGAGGTAAGACCCTGTTCTTCATGTATGTATTAAATATTTTAGACCTTTGATTTTGTCATTATGTTATAATCCTTCGATGGAACCATATCTTTTGTATATATAGGATCCTCTAAAGAAAGAGGTTGGTGAAGACTTATTAAAATATGTTGATTCAACATTCGTTAAAATCGTGTTTGGCTCTTTCAAAGGTGATCCGGCTAAAGAAACGGGTAAGATTGACTTTCGTATAGCTCATCAATTGTATTAGGCCTTCAATTGTTAGTTTACATACGTTTGCCATTAGTATACTTCTCCAAAAACTTTAAACATATATTAAACAAATTTTTATATTATTGTGAACCAAGCGCAAGCAACACGTTTGCAATTTGCAAAAAAATTCATTACTGAAAAAATGTTAATATTTTAAATATGCGATTTATATTTGCGATTTATAGCAGTAGAAGTCTTATACCAACCTAAGAGCATTTCCATTGATAGTATTTCAATAGGGTTCGAACTTTTGAAAAAAAAATTGTAATGGCTGTTCTAATTAAGTAATTAGAAGCTGAAACTTGTGTGTGTGTTTTTATGCAGCATCGGTTTTCGATCACGTGGAAAATTCTTTACAGCAGTTTGATGATGGTCCATTCTTCCTCGGCGAGCTTAGCTTGGTATATAAGTCTTAATATATAGATGGAAAAATGCGAACTTTTAGTTTCAAAATGATAAAACTTTCTTGATTTTAATTTTCCTAGGTTGATATTGCATATATTCCATTCATCCAACGATTTCAAGTCTTCCTCAACGAGGTTTTTAAGTACGATATTGTTGCCGGACGTCCAAAACTAGCTTCTTGGATTGAGGTATATACACATACGCATATAGCAAGGTTCTTCTATGAGGTTAAGCAATCTAACCGCACATGTATATTTTTTTGTTGTTGTTGTAGGAAATGAACACGATGGTTGCATATACGCAGACGAAACCTGACTCGGAATATGTCATCAATTTTTTCAAAAAGTTCATGGTAAGAGTTACGTTACTTAAATTCTACAATGCCGAAATGGCGTTTTGAAACTCTAACACATATTTAGGGCATCATTTCAATTTCAAACCCAAAAAAATAGCTGGATTAAACAAATCTTTACATGGAGAATGCCTTTTTTTTTTTGTTAACCAGCGTCTTGCTTAATTCGGGTTAACGAACCGAATAATAATTTTTTTTCTATAACAAAAGTTAACCGATTCGGACTTTCCTTTTGTAGTAAATCTATCGGAGCGAGTCGTCGGTGACAAGACCATATTGATTTATGAAGAAGACCGCAAGAACGTTACTGCATGGAAGTGCTACAATAAGATTTTGCTTTACTTTTAAGCAAAAGACATTTGGATAATGTTTTTTTTTTAAGTATTCATCTTTTTTTTTTGTTGGTTCTCCTCAGAGATCGAACTTTCGTATTTGCTTGCTTGGTAACGATGTTAAGTTTGTTTATGAAGTTTTTTCGATTATGCATTTTTTTTCTACTATTTCCTTCTTTACAATCATGAAATGATATTTAAGGAATTGGCTCTGATATCATCCGATCCCAACCAAATTTGGAGTTAAGCATTATTGATGAAATCATCAAGTAGCCGAGAATAGATTATCTACTTCTCAATCGTTAAAAAAAATATTCTGAATCTAAATGCAGATTAATTAATATATGAAAAACCATAACCCAATCTTGTCTTGTGATTTTGTTTAAAAAGTGACAATCTATAAATCATACCATCTACTATTAAAATAACCCAAAACCGGTTTAATTCCTATTGCCCTTGTGTTTTCTACATGGAACTAGCGTCCACCCATCATCTGCCATTTGTTCATCAACCGGCATTGCTTCTGGTTTCCGGTTTGAGCAGTGATCAGTTGCATCCATCATCATGTCTATTGTTTCATCATTGTCCATCCATGTATCCTTATCTTCATCATCACTACTACCATTTGGAACCTGCAATACCACAAGAGCCTCAATTCTAACTCTCAAGAAGCAAAGCGAAAATAGAAAGAAAATGTGACAATACAAACCTTCACAACACTGGCACGCGGCTGAGATTTAGTTACCCTCAGTTCATCAAGAATTTGGTAGTTATCGTCGATGCATTATTCATACCACGTTAGTAGTTTTTCTGCCACCTTCATAAGGAAACACTATCAGTACCCAAAAGAAAGGACTCGAGATTAGTATCAAATTACATACCTCTTCAATTTTATCATCATCATACTCAACCAGAGTATGAAGCTCATCAAGAAGACCTTTCACTAGAATGTAAACTATTAGTGTCTATTGGATCTACAAGATGAAGAAATCACAAAGCCACCTTAAGAATAATGATCACTACACACCAAGAAGTGATGATCTTAGAGTCGAATAGTAATGAGAAATGATAATGAGATTAAACAATTGTTTGGGTGAAATAATCGAAAACTTTGGAAACAATACGCTCGGCTTTTGCGTGGGAATGTCGGACCCCGAAACCGTATTCGACAGCGAGTTGCATTGTATCCCACCCAGAGAGTATCAAACCAATTCCTTCATTCAATATGGCCTGCTCTTTATTCAACATTCTCTCTAACTGATCAACCAAACAGTTACTTGGTATTACGATTTGAATGTCTAAACATCGATAAAGTCTACTTTCCAATTTATTTGCTCAACTATGGATATCTCCAGAGCTAAGCAAGTCAAATTTAGAACAGAGAGATTAAAATATCACAATGTTATTCAACAAGACAATAGAAGCATCAGAGAGCAAGCAATGATTCAATCGAAACTTTAAGTCGCGAATACTTGATCCGTGGCGGACACGGAACATGTAAAACAGAGAGAGAAAATAAAAACCTGTGAGTCGGAAACAGAGTCGGAGTATTGTCGAAACGTCGGTGAGTAAAGGAATTTTTTTTTCCCTTGGTGAAGTGAAGGAAACCCTAAGGCCTAAACCGAAACGAAATTGATCGGTCGGTGGATTTCTTCGGTTGAATCAGACCGAACTGAATGTTTATGTCATATTACGTCAGTTTTCTAGTGGCTAAAATCATTATTAGTGATCATATTCCCTAAGCAAACAAACAAAAACCCAAAAACATTTGCAGATCATATGGCCGACAAGAGGCAAGAGAGAGACGGGGCCAACGACGACGGTGTAAGAAACCCTAGCCACCGCAAAATCAAACGAGCAAGAGATTCAATAGACTGTGGAGATTTCATCGGCTCTATGCCAGATGAGATCCTCCACCATATTCTCTCCTTTACTCCGACCGATCTCGCCCTCAGAACTTCCCTCTTGTCAGGACGATGGAGACATGTATGGTCTGAGACACCTTCTCTCTACTTTGAGGGCTTTACATTTAGAGCTCGAGGGTTGAACCAAATCCTAACTTACTACAAGGCTCCCAAAATCATGAGTTTCCATCTTCGTATAAGCGATGACCAAACTGCACGTCAGATCGATAGGTGGATCGAGTTCGCAATGTCTCGCAATGTGCAGAAATTATCTTTGACCTTGGACACTCTTGGTCTAGGGGGGACTTACAGTTTTCCTGATTTCTTCTATCTCAGTTCCTGTGTAAAGCAACTGAGCGTGAAATTTTTTACTTTAGAGATATGATTCCCAAATGCAGAGTGTCTTGGAAATCCCTAAGGAACTTGTCACTGAGTTTTTGCAAAGTCACCGATGAATCCATTGCAAAGATTCTCAATGGCTGTCCAAAGCTCCAAAGCTTGACGTTGCATTACTGTCGTGAATCACTTGAGCGCCTTGACCTGAGTAAGTCACCAAGTCTGACAAGACTAGAGATAGTTCGCCACTGGCAGTATCTATTACCAACTGAGATTGTAGCGCCACACATCCATTATTTGAGACTGAGAAACTCATGTACTTTAGTGGATGTCTCCTCTTTAACCGAAGCTGACCTTGACATATGCATTGACATTGAAGACCGATTTTCTTCGAAGGCTGATTTTCTTCAAGTCAAGTTGCTAGAGATGCTAGCAAAATTGCACAAGGTAGAGAGGCTTACTGTTGGGGCAACCTTTCTTCAGGTATGTTTGCCACTCTCCAAGGCCTGAAACTTTCTATGTTCACTCAAATAATAACTTGGTTGCACGGTCAATTTTTCGTTGATGGTTAGGGTTCCATTTAAGTCGTAATATTTTGTCTGATTTGTTAGATTCTATCTCTCGCCAAGCTCCGGCGTGTTCCTTTCCCAAGGCTCAAGGTCCAAAGTTTGATTGTAGAGGCAATATTTGTTCGATATACTATTCCTGGTATAGTAAGGTTACTACAAAATTCACATGGATTAAAGAAGCTAACAGTAGTACACACAACGAACATCAAAATCATACCGGTATTTTTACCTGAAACTCTTGTACTTTCTTGTATATATATACAAAATAATAACTGAGTAGTAACAGTCAAAGAATGTCTTTCACCTTTTTTTAGCTAGTCTAATATAGGATTTGATATTTTGTAGAAATTGTGGAAAAATAACGTTTAGTGTGCTTTGGGATGTTCTACAGGATCGACATTTTGACCGCTATTTGGATTGACAAGGATTGAATTCTGATCAAAGATCTAAATACAAGGATTATCGTCCCTTTTCAGCAGATATCTATGATTATCGTAAGAAAGAAATGAACAAACATTTGGATTCGTTCATAAAATTGGTGCTGAGAAAGGCAAAGAAACTAGAGAAGGTGGTTGTAGGGCTAGGAGGTTTTTACATGGATGATGCAAAAATGGGTTGAAGAGCAGCTTCAGATGGTTCAGATACTTTCTCACAACAAAAATGTCTCTATTGAGCTAAAAAGAAGCAATTAGGGTTTTAGTCTTTGAATCTGGTAGAGCATTTTAGAATGAATCTCAATTAGGGAAGTGTAAACTCTTTGTATTTCAATTTTCAGTGAACTTTTGATAGTTGACTATTTGGTGTATCATCATAACCTCCAACAATACAATTACCAATGTATCAAATGTCCTTGTGTTTCTCACTACAAAATCCATGAACGAAGCCAAGATTTTTGGCGCTGCATGTTCTATACGGAACATGAACGGATCAACAATATTTGATCCGTGGAGAGTACGTAACATGTAAAAAC